ATGAGACCATGCGGGTCCACATCAGGGCACTTCGAGAGGACCATGGTATTCAAACTTTGGACACCACCTTGATGCTTGCCAGAACTGTGAGATATGACAAGGTGCACTTGGAAGACGACGAAATCAACCGGAAGTATGTCACCAACTTCCTCCAAGCCGTCGCTGATTGCCACCTTGCCTACCTCAAGCTCATCAGCGTCGACGATCACTTGAGAACGCTCCCAAGAATTGACGATCTCCAGGAGCAGAAGAACTACCCGAACCTCACCATCCTCAAGGCCGCGTGCCAGCTTGAAATCGATTCGAATGTATCCTCTCCAAAAGATCTTCCTCAGCGACCTGATCCTGAGAAGCTCATGTTGGATGCAGATATCGAGATTTTCAACTGGGTGCTTCAAGCTGAGGAGAGCGCCACAGCCTCTGCCGACCGGGAGGTCGAGTCCTGGTTGCGTGACATTCCTGAAGAGGACCAGGCATTGGAACCAATGCACCATGACAACGCTGATTCGGACGATGAGGCTGTCAAAGTTCAGGCCCTCACCATGGATGATCGAATTTTGGCGAGGCGAAAAGGCCTTTCAGAGGAGCACGACCAAGAATGGCAAGATGCCACCTATGCGGCTGAGGATGAAGACGAGGACTTCAAAGGGTGGGACCTCATTGAGGATGACAAACGCCCGCCGGGAGTCGTGGCCAGTGACCCAGTACATGAAGAGGAAAAGGAGCTGGACCTTGACGACCTCGAGACGGTGGCTTCGGTGGAGATTGTCGATGAAGAGGAGTTCCACGACGCTGAGGAGGGGCAGGCAGAGCCGATTGATGATGATGACGATGACGACATGGCCGTGATCGACAAGGTCTCTTCTATGCAGGCCTCGAAGTCTGATGCACGGGGGGACCCGGAGCCCATGGATGTTGATGATCAGGGCAACAAGATGGTCCAGAGTACGGCATCAGCGAAGACCTGGAAGACGGAGATGGCCCAGAGCTCGTCATCGGCAAAGACGTGGAAAACTGACATGGCTCAGAGCACCTCATCTGCAAAGACATGGCGAACTGACACCACTGCAGCTGCGTCGGCGGGAGCCACGCCTTCTGACCCGACGTCCAAGCTCAAGCCCAAGAAGAAGGCCATGCCAAAGAGATTGAAGGTTGTGGATGAGGGACATGGGCCAAGTGCTGAACAGTTTGACACGTCGAAATTTGCCTCAGCACAGGATCTGGTTTGGATTGAGCCGGACAACATGGCAGGAGTTCCTGTGCGCAAGGTGGACTACGGGAGGCTTGGATCAATTTCCCATGCTATGTCCGACTACCTCCGTGGCCATCGATTGTTTCACAGGAGGCCATCACCTGAGATTCGGAGGACTGATTTGTCAATGGACTTCAAGGCATTGGTGAGGCATCTCCAAGGAGACTTTGCGCACCTTCGAGAAGAAGAAGTTTTGATGGTTGTGCGCAACTCTCCGATGCGTCGCTTCAGAGTCCAGGTGAACGGCTTGTCGTCCGGAAAGCTCAGGTGGACGCCAGTGAGGATCAGGGCCATTCAGGGTCATCGGGCCTTTCTCGTGGAGCAGGGGGGGATGTCAAGCATGATCAAAACGATGTTCACTTTTGATGAGAACTTCGACCAGACCAAGATCGACGACCCAACGGTCCACCCCGCATTCTCCGCGATGCCGGAAGGCTCGCCTGTGTGGCACAAGTTCCCCAGAGTGGTGTATCACACCTGTGACCAAGCCGCCTTCAATTCCATCATCAAGCACGGCCTGATCCCTGGCGGATTCCCGTACAAAACGGGCAGAGCCCACAACTTTTTCAACTCCACTCCGCCCTGGAAAGCGGAAATGAAAAAGTTGCAAGGTACGCGGGCCGGGAGGCCAATCGCCATCGCGTTTGACATGGAGCTCATGATGCAAATGGGCTACAAACTTTTCGCGACTGACGAGGCCATCCTGTCGCCGGACTGGATCTCGAACCAGCCGATGATCAACGCCTTTGATATGCGTTCGGGCGAATTTTTCTTTATCAACAGGGCTTATGTCAACCATCGGAAGACTTACCAGGAAGTCCTCAAGCAGGCCAAGGCCGAGTTTGATCCGACGGATGTTCTCATGAGCCGCATGGAAATGTTGATGGAAAATGCCCAGTTGAACTTTGAAGGCATCAAAGAGCGCATTGAGTTCGGCAAGCTCCTCCCCTTTTCCAGGCGTGAAGACATTGAAGTCGAGAAGAGTACTGCCACCCGGGAGGGTGAGCCGGCATCCGGTTCTCAGCTGGTGCCCGGCTACACCGTTGGAAAGATGGCCGCCATGACAAGCACGGACGCCTGTGGCTTCCAACGTCGTGGACGGAATGGACCCGGTGGTGGAAATTGGAGTCGAGGGCAAGGTCGACACGGATTTGAGTTGCAATTCAAGGACATTTCCTACAACCAGATCCAAGACACGCCTCAGGTACGTTGTGGCCATCCGATCTGTGGATATCTGATGGTGGATGGACATTTGAAATGCCCGCGCTGCTCCCGGCAGATGGAACCCGTGACCGATGCCAACATCGCCACGGAAGTTGCCCGCCGGGAGGCGATGGCCCGTACCAGAGGAGTGCCCTTCTCCATGGACAAGGTGATCTTCAACCACCCGCGAAGAGGCAGAGTAGCCAGGCAGCCGGAGAAGGGATCATCATCTTCTTCGACAGCCATCCGGACCAGAAGCACCTATGGCAACTTGAGAGACATGGCCAAGAACTACGTCAGATCTTTCAAGAAAAGGGGCTTCAAAGACCTTGTTGACCGACTCGTCCGCGACCCGTTCTTTCAGTTCAATGCGGCGAATCAAAACTTGGTGCCGGAGGCCTTGCTCTTCATTGAGCGTTTGGCTGGCTGCGTGAGCCCGACCATTGAGCGTACCAAAGCTCAGGTTCTTGGTGAAAAGCTTGAAATGGCCACCAAGTTGATCTTTGTGCCATCGTCGGAGCGGGAGCCCGACCAACCCTTGGATCTTCACACCGAGGTGTTTGTGTCGCATCGGGGCGTCTTTCTCGACATTGGCCAATTCGCAGTCTACGTGGCGAAGTTCATCAAGCCAAGGCAAAGACCTCTACCCATTGTTTATGGATGGGGCAATCGTGACTTTGTGCCTGATGCTTCAGATGCCAAAGAGATCGCGAAAGAACTGGTGGAGTTCAGCAAGCTGCAATGGTCGAACTTTGCCTCCCAACAGACGCACAAGGAGTCTCAGACCACCGGCGACGACCGGGAGGTCAGTCTTCCTCATGCAAGTGCAGCCATCAGCCGACCTGAACATGAACGACCCCATCACGAGCAGTTTGAACCGAATCTTGGCAAGCCTGCTCGCGGCGGTCCTTACGGCCAGGGTGGTGGTGGTGGAAAAGGTCATCACAAAGGTGGAGGACAGGCCAAAGGAAAGGGACAGCAAAAGGGGAAGGGCAAGCAAGGCAGAAGCCCACCGGGAGGTGTGGCCTACGATGACTTTGAAGGAGATTCCTTCTGGGTTCAGGGCTATCGCTACACGTGGTACTGGAATCAACAGCGAGGCTGGTACTGGCGCTGGACCTGAACTATGGGATGACTCGCATTGACACTTAGGTCATATCTTTCCTGTTTCAAATTTGCTTGCCGGGAGGCATGCCTGTCTATGACAAACTTGGCAGGCATTGCACCCATTGAACAAACCAAAGCTTTGACGCACATTATGCATCTACCCATTCAAGTGAACTTCAAATGCACATATTTCCGCACAGTTTAAATGAATTAAAATTTTACTTCAATAACTTCTCAAGCCGATGATTGGATGTTCAAGGCAAGAGCTCAAATTAATTCACACCAATTTCATGGCTGTACAGTTTTTCCTGCCATGGTACCGTTCGAGTGGAGCCAAAAGGAATGGTAATGTTCCTACATTCATTTGAAGGTGCCTGGCGGGAGCCACGGCCATGCTGTGTGCAACATCGTGCCCATCTCTGGCAAAAAGAGCCCTCAACGCAATGCATGCTTTGCATCCGTCCATTGCCTTGACATCCGATTCCTTTATCCCTACAATGCATCCGCATCGACCCAATGTATAGCTGTACAACTGTATTACTCAGGTCTCATCGCGGCGGCAGACTGCAGGCACTGTTTTACCGGGGCTGCCAAGCAGCCACGGTAAACGGGGGGTATTTTTACGGGATGTCATTAGGTAGTATCCGTAACCTCCCTGTAAAGTGTGCCCTGTAGTCTACTATGTATACCACCTGACTTTATGGCTCAAGGAAAATAGTGTGCGTGCTTACTGGCTGATTGTGGCTTGATTTCCTACAAATATAATTAACATAGCCATGGTATAGATGGCCCATGAAAATAGATGGTTTACCGATTAATAGCATGGTGATTTTCCATGGCTATGTTAGTCATAACCAGATGGTATATGGGAAATACGGGTAAATCTGAAGCAACTATTATTCGAGGCGTCTCCCTTGACCGGCCTGGCCGGGGTTGAATCTTCATTATCCCATTGGCCCCCTTGATATTCATCCCATTGATCCCTCAGAATCCCAAAGTTGTTGTTGAATTATAATCCTTATAATGGGATTTTAATGGGAGTTAATGGGATTTTATGGTGGTTTAATGGGATCTAATGGGATTTAATAGGATTTACCCTCTGGTAAACTGTCCCATAACGAACTGGAAAACCACCATTTTATAGCTGGGTAAATCAACTATTTCTATGGGCAATTTTCAATAGCTATGGAACAAATTACCAGAGGGTAGTCATATATTCTACTGGTTGGTGGTTTGGAACATTTTTGTTCAAGTTTTCCATATATTGGGAATTTCATCATCCCAACTGGCTTTCATATTTTTTCAGAGGGGTAGGGCTCAACCACCAACCAGTAATCCGTATATTCTATGATAATCCGGGGTGTCGAATTCACAGGACCCTTGGTTTCCAAAGGCTTCGGCGCTTGTCTTTCCTTGGTTGGCGCCCGGTTGCCGCGAGGCCGCCAAGGAACGCTTGCCGCGGTCCTTGGATTCGCTGCTGGCGTGGAGCGACCAACACAACCAGGCGGCCGGTGTTGGTTATGGAATGGTTATGTAGCCACATAGTACAGGATGGGGCCCCCAAGATAGCGTTTAGTTGCCTTATAAGTGGCTGAATTCTATGGTTTATGGTAGATATAACGAACTAGTTGATGGGGTTTAAACTGGTTTACAAACCTGTAGGAAGTCATCATGGAAATAGAGTAGGTTGATGGGAAAGTAGGGTAGGTTATTATAGGTTGATGAGAAACTAGTTTCTATGCCACATAATAGGTTGATGGAAGGAACATCATGGAAACAGAGTAGGAAGTTCCATCGAATATATAATGATGCCCTTGTTTGGAAGAAACACACGAAATGGTCACAGAATCAGACCTCAGATTCCAGAAGGCCAGGAAGGCTTTACTCGCAAGTCGGTTCCCTAATCGACTCTGCAGCTTCTGTCAACATTTTTTGTTTTTTTGGCCCAGTGATTTCTTGGGAGGGGGGAAAGGTACAGTAGCTTATCCCACACATCAACAGCTGAACATAGCTGAACTAATTATGGTTGCTACTTGCAGTTATTAAGTTGATTTGGGCTTGATAGGCTTGATATTTGTCTTGAACTAATCAACATTAATCAGTGAATTACCCTCTGGTAAATAAACAGTTGGACCCTGAAAATCACCATTTTTTAATGGTTTCACTAGTCTTCCAACCCCATAATTCATGCCAGGGTCGAACTGTTAATTTACCAGAGGGTAATAACCATTAATATTACCATTAGTATTAACCATGATTAACAGTATATTAACCACCATTTACCATCATTACCCCAGTTATGTTACCCTAGTGACCCAAGTTTGGTCATAGCCCCCGGTCCTCCAGGTCCTCCAGGTCCTCCAGGTCCTCCATCGCTTCAGGACGTGAAGGCCTTGCACCAGGCCCTGGGCAACACCGACGACGCCCTTGCAGCCTCCTTGGTGCCATGGACGCGGGAGACGCCGGAACGCGGGAGTTGCGGGAGTTGGGGGAGTTGGGATGGGTTATCCTTTGGTCATCCACTTTTTATGGGATATTTATAGGATATTTATAGGATATTTATGGGATTTACTCTGGGATTTACTCTGATTTTCTGGGATTTGATATGGAAAACTTATAAAAAGAGATGAACACTGATGAATTGTAGAGCATTTCCGAACTTGAAACTCATGGAGATTTAGATGGTGCAGGAGGGCGATGGCTTCAGCTGGCTGGGCGGCTTTGTTTATGCCTTCCCATACGTCTCCTGGCTGCTTGGGTGGTCGAGTCAAGTCAGGGGTCGCGCCCCTGCAATCAAACATCATGAACAACTCTAAAGCAACTTCATCAATAGTCTTGCCTCAGATCATTTTCTACAACCGGAATCCTTGGAATATTTGGAATCCCAACCTGGCCATTTAAACCTAGGGAGTTCCACCCCCCAGGTTTCGGTGCCCGTATGGCCGTATCCAGCCGTAGGTGGTCCACGTGGTGATCTTCATGCAGGACCTGATCCGGCGCCCTTCGTTCCGCACCTTGACCAACGCACCGATGAAGCGGCTGAAGCCGATGCACACCATCTACGAGAAGTGCCCCGGATAGCGGGCTTGCTTGGGGGGTAGCTGGTGGTTGAGCTGGGGATAGCGGCCAAAGCTGGGGGAATATAGGAAAATGGCTCGGGCTGAAAGTGGGAGTTTTTTTTAATTCCACATGGCAATTTTCATAGGACAATTTGAGAAAATGATGAGAATCCATTGGAATTGGGGCTACCCTGATTTTTTTGGAAGAACCCATGTCTTATTAGTTGATTGGGGCATGTCTTTGGACAGATGGTGATTTCTGGGATGGAAGTTGTGACCCAGGTGGATCAGATCAAGGTGAGAAATCTGTTGAAATGATGGGTTGAAATGATCATCAGTTTAAACATGTTTAAACTGTTATCGTTTGAAATGCATGTTGAATATAGTTGACATGGTCAGTTGTTACTATTTGTTAGAAACAAATGTAGATTCCCATTATGGGATGTTGGATTCCCATTATGATGTTTTCCATGGGATGTGAGTTTTCCACATCTATGGTTCATGTTTCTCTTTCCTTCGAAGTACCCCTCGATACGCAGGTACTTTGGGGTCCAAGGCAGCCTCTACACCGCCAAGGTGGTGACTTGGTGCTCCGAGATCGTTGAATCGGAGCGCGACTTCAGTCAATAGTTTAAGTATGGTTAAGTATTGTTAAGTGATTAGTGATGGGTGTGTAACCAACAATAGTAATCTGGTTGGTGGTTTGGAACATTTTTTTATTTTCCATTTCATATATGGGATGTCATCCTTCCCATTGACGAACTCATATTTTTCAGAGGGGTAGGTATACCACCAACCAGTAATATTTAAATACGTGGGTTTTTTCCTAGTTTTGTATGTTTGGTTCCTAGTTCCTAGATGGTTCTTATTTTGCTCAACGAAGCTTTGCCAACCTGGGTTGAAAAGAGGCCTGGAGTCCGCCCGCTCTGTAATGTCGTCCGTCCGTCCATGGCGTGGGAGATGTTTTTTGGGAAGCAACGTGTGGTGTCTCATGATGGTTACATGACTAGCTGGTTGGTGGTTTAAGGAACATAATATATGGTTAATACCAATAGTACCGCACAAGGCGGTGGCGGAAGTTTCAAAAATAGGAAACCTATAGGAGAGATTGGTTGTTGTGAATCATGGATGGCAGAGCGAATCCACTGATGGACCGAAAGGTGCTTGAGGTCTCCTCTCTTTCTTTCTCTGGCTATCTACCTACCTATCTATCTATCTATCTACCTATCTATCTATCTAATCTAATCTAATCTAATCCAATCGAATCTAATCTAATCTAATCTAATCTATCTATCTATCTATCTCTCTATCTATCTCTCTATCTATCTCTATCTATCTCTATCTACCTCTATCTATCTCTATCTACCTCTATCTATCTCTATCTATCTCTATCTATCTCTATCTATCTCTATCTATCTCTATTTATCTCTATCTATCTCTATCTATCTCTATCTATCTCTATCTATCTATCTATCTACCTTTCTTTCTTTCTATTAATCCATCTACCTATCTATCTATCTATCTATCTATCTCTCTCCCTCTCTCTCTATCTATCTCTATCTATCTATCCCTATCTACCCATCTCCATCTATCTCTATCTATCTCTATCTATTTCTACCTATCCCTATCTATCTCTATCTATCTCTATCTATATCTATATCTATCTCTATCTATCTCTATCTATCTCTATCTATCTCTATCTATCTCTATCTCTATCTATATCTATCTCTATCTATCTCTATCTCTATCTATCTCTATCTATCTCTATCTCTATCTATCTCTATCTATCTCTATCTATCTCTTTCTATCTCTATCTATCCCTATCTATCTCTATCTATCTCTATCTATCTCTATCTATCTCTATCTATCTCTATCTATCTCTATCTATCTCTATCTATCTATTTCTCTCTCTCTCTCTCTCGGTCTGTCTGTCTGTCTATCTATCTACCTGTCTATCTGCAAGCTTGAAAACCCGGCTATTCCACGAGACTTCTTCATTTTTCCAAGTTGACAACATCAAAAACGCAGCACTTCTGCGAGACTTTCTCATTTTTTGAAGTTGACCACATCAAACAGAAAGCAATTCTGCGAGACCTCCTCCTCCTTTGAAGTTGACCACATCAAAAACGAAGCAATTCTGCGAGACTTCCTTCATTTTTGAACTTAACAACGTCAAAAACGAAGCAATTCTGCGAGACTTCTTAATTTTTTACACTTGACAACATCAAAAACGAAGCAATTCTGCGAGACTTCCTTCAAAAATGGAAAGTTGACTGCAGAGCTGACGGCCTCGTACCATTGCGTTTTGCAATTTTTGCTGTCCACCTGTAGTGATGCCAGGTCATACAAAGTGCTGCACCTGTCACACAAAATCATCTTAGCAAACCTACAGATCTGATGCTCCAAAATCTCAGGAAATCAGCGCCCTGACCTCCTAACATCTCTCATGAACATGTCGTTTGTACTGCGCCTGCCACGGAAAATGCATCTTTGCAGATCCTCTTCAAATGTCCCACGCCTGCCATCGTTTTTGGAAATGCTACAAAACCCTCACGTTTTGCTTGCTTTTTAGAAGGTGCACAATCCCTTGCGCCTGCCACGCAAAACGAGATCTGAATGTCCAAAAGTGCTCCGTACGTGGTGTGTTTTGTACATGTTGACTTCGCATTTTGACTTCGAAATGTGCTTCGCGCCACAAGGGCGTGCATTTTTTCGACATCGCAACTGCCAAAAGTGGTCCGAGCATGGTGTGTTTTGTACATTTTGACTTCCAAAGGTGCTTTGCGCCACAACGGCGTGCACTTTTTCGACATCGCAACTGCCAAAAGTGGTCCGAACCTGGTGTGTTTTGTACATTTCGACTTCGAAATGTGCTTCGCGCCACAACGGCGTGCAATTTTTCATCTCTCATCTGGGCCAGATGGCTCAGAACCCGCCGCTTTAGCGAGCCTACTTTTCGACTTTTCGACCCTTCGGAGCCACAAATCATTGGAAAAACACAATGTTTCGCGACTTTCTTACCTTTTCGCGCATCTGCATCTTCTTTCTTCTGACTCTTTCTCTTCTCTGATCTTCTCTCTTCTACTCTACTCTTCTCTTCTCTCTGGCTCTTCCCATCTCTGCTTTTCATCTGTCCATATTGTCGGAAGTTTGACTTCTAGACTTCCTTCGATAATGTTAATATGATTATATATATATATATGGTTAACACATGATATATATATATATATTTGATATTCTGGTTGGTGGTTTGGAACATAACTGGATTATGTTTTCCATGTATTGGGAATTTCATCATCCCAACTGACGAACTCATATTTTTCAGAGGGGTAGGTATACCACCAACCAGCAAGTATATACTTATATACTGGAAATCAATTCCAAATCTGCAGTTTTGAGACTTCAGCTCTTAGTGCTGAAGCTAGTATCCTTTGATTCTTCCGCAGTGGGTCAGCCTGTTCAAGTGTACGCAAGCTGCCCTGTGTTTTGTGGGTTTTCCATAGTCTGTTCAGACTGGTCAGAGATCGTTTCAATTGCGGGGAAGAATGCATGAAGGAGAGCTGTTGGTGTATGAACTCGACCATCAGTTATCCCTTCTTTGTAGAGGCAAAACTGTACAACCGTACATCTCAAATCTTCCCTCAAATCAAACCCATGGTTTTGCCCATTCCTTCTCAACACGGAAGTTAAGTTGAACAGGAAGACTGTATGGAAATTATGGAACTCTTCTCCATCTTTGGAGGATGAAGCCATTGGTTGACCTCGCCGTCTTAGGCCTTACTGCAGCTCCTGGCGTTGCCTTTGTGGCTTGGCAGGGATCAATCTGTGGCCAGCCAATTCTTTTTTGGCGTAAACTCGGGCAAATTCATTTGTTGAGGGTAACCATCATCAACTACTATATAACCACTGTATAACCACTATTACCCAACCATCATCAACCATCATATAACCATGATTAACTAAACATCATCAACCATTGTATCATCATTACATGGTCGTTATCAAGAACAGATGACCACTGTGGTTTCGCCCACCATCCCCCGAGGCAATGCTTCGGAAAGATCGGCCTCTTGGGTTCCATCTGCACCGCCGGGAAGTTCGCGGACGAGGTGCGCTGGCAACACGAGGCGAATTTAGGAGCGAAGGGCGGCAAAACGGTGATGGGAGAGAAGTGGGATGGATATGGATGGATCATAATCGATTTTGGAATGAGGATTTTCAATTTTCCCCCCAAATATGGTATTACACGATATTTAATGGGTAGGAACTTCCTTCGTATGGTAAAAAATAGTCAATGGGCGCTGGCTTTATTAGTGGCTTTACCATGCTGGAATTATATAAACCCAAAAGATTTGCAACTATAGTTGCCCCATTTATCCAATGACTTCCCATCAGCAGCAGGAGTCCCCAACAGGAAGAGGTTTCCCCAACCCGCGACACGTCACTTCGATCCGACGTGGTCAGGAGGTGATGGGTCTGAACGCGCTGTCAGCGACCTGCTGGTGACGGGCTATTGGATCTTCGTCTTTTTCCTGGGCCCCTGGGCTAAGTGTTTCTGCGGGGTCGGGCGAGTCAAGGGAAGATCTTTGGTGGGATTGTTTAGAAAGTTTGGACAAGCCAATGGAGAATTGTATGCTGTTACAAGGAACTATTGTTGAATATTTTTTGGGGTTTGATCTGCAAACTCCGAGTTTGCATCCGGCAGGGTGGCGGTTGCGGGTTAGGGCATGGAACAAAAAGGCCAGGATGTAGATGTTCAGTTCGGCCACCCAGTGGCCATAGATCAGCTCAGAAATGATAAGTGGTGCCGCCATTGAATCGAGCAGTGGCCTAAGCGAAAGCCTATCGATGAACTGATAGAACCGACCCCCAGAATGCGGGAGATCCATGTAGATCCATGAGCTGCATAGCTTCCAATTGGTGCAAGTTATTTTCTCCATATTGGTGCGACAGAACGGATATTCCATGATATTCCTTTCCTATACATCATGCAAAAAGCATCAAAATTCACCATCCAGCCAGGTAAGAGTCGGATACATGTCTTACACTGTGGGGTCAGGAGGGATAGAGGCCGAACTCGGTGAATGATCGGCCACAGGCCTCAACTGCATCTATCCGGCCCTGCTCATCAGTTGCCTGGACGCTGTCGGGGGAGAGAGATCTCCATCGAGATCCCATGAAATCCTTCACTTTTTGAAGGGTTTGGATAGGTAGACCCTCCAGTTGTGGCAGATTTTGAATGATTTTGATGCCTTTTCACATCTCAAACCCATAGCTGCCATAGCTGTGGAATTGTCGAGGTTTCGGCGAGCATCGCTGGGCCAGCTTTCTGACCGCCTGGTCGGATGCTATCGTTCACCTGTCCTACATCTTGATTTACCTCACCATGAGCTGCTTGGAATTCTGCTTGGAGTTCGGGGTCCTAAACACGCATCGCCAATCTTGCTGGTGGACATGCAAACAGTTTTTGTTTCTTTTGGTTCTTTTTCATTCCTCATGGGATATCTTGGGATCATGAAGCAAAGTTATCGAATCGCCATAGCTGCCATAGCTCAATCTTTTTTGAGGCCACCACGGTCACCACATTCGGAGGCAACATCTTGGGGCCAGTTTGACGTCCACTGAGGCTTGATCTCCCTGCACAAGTTGCATTTCAAGGACACGGTGATCTACGTGGGGAGCTTTGGCGGTGAGATGCCAATTCGTCTAAGGCTTCTGAGGTTGCTGAATTCTCCATAGCCTAGCATTTAGTAAGACACACACGCACGCACATACATACACATACACACACATATTTATATATATATATTTATCACACACACACATATTTATTTATTTATTTATATATATATCTAAATATGAATGTAATATACATGCCAAGCATGTATGCAATAGAGACACCCTTGCCATTTTTGATCCTCTCATTTCACGTCTGTCATAGATCCAGTTGTTCGAAAACCGGGTCGTTTTGGCTGAGGAATATGACGATCCAACTTTCCAACGAGTTGAACCCCATCTTCCCTTTCCCAACCACCTTGCTGGGCACCTTGCTGGCACGTTTTTTCGAAAAAAAACACGCGCGCCAGGTCCGCCAGGGCATCCGAACGCACACCGGCGTCATCTAAGCTGGGGAACATCTCCCACTTTCGCGTTGATGTTATGTTATGTACAAAATGATGTGAAACACAGATTTTATGGAAGAGTTTCCCCACTAGGATAGTGATTCCCCATCTTGCAGAGCTTTAAACTGATCACATCAGCAAAAAATGGACCTCCCAGCCATTCAATGAACCTTGGATCAAGTCCTAGATTTGGTTTAAGGGAAATTTTGCAAACAAAACCTAGGTTGGTGGGTAAAAAGACTTTTGTTTCCTCTGCAAATTTTCCGACCAACCCATTGATGAAATTGCTGTTCTTTGGCCGGGCTGACCCTCCCAGGTTACGTCTCCATCTACATCTCCTTGGTGCATGTCTGCTGCGTCTGCCGCGTGTTGGAAGATACCGCGGCCCAGTTTGCCTTGCCGGGGGCCTCAGGGGGCCTCAGGAAACCTCAGCCGACCACTGGCACATGGATGGTTAGAAGATGTTAGAAGTCCTCCAATATAAGGGGTAACTCGGGGTAACCGAAAAACATCGAAAAACCTGGCATTCTTAGCTATACAATGGGGTTTATCCCATCGTATCCCCATAGTATCCCCATAATTCGGAAGTTTATAATGTTTATAGTTTTATACCCACAAGTTTTGTTGGTTCAACCCCTCTTTAAACCATTTTTAGGGTTTGGTTGTGTCCTGATGGACATAAATAGGATCCCATTATCAACTCATTATTATTCCATTATCCGCTCATTATTAAAACATGAATTCTTGGATTCCATCTTCCTCATATTTCTTTTGCAATCCTATTATGATCACATTACTATCCATTATTGCTGGTTGAATCCCATTATAATCCCATTAAGTCACCAATCGTTGGTTACAAACTCCTCATTTTTCAATGTTGGTTATGCATCCCATTGTAATCTCTTTGACTTTTTTTTACCCCCATAAAACGGTGTTAATGTGATATTCCTATTACAATCCTATTAAAATCCAGTGATCATCCCAATTACAATGCCATGAAACCCAGGAAGAGCGCGGAGGAGCGCGGCTTTGAGCGTTCGATGTCCAGTACGAGTCTGCTAACGTCACGACGTTTGGTCTCCATTGCGTCCTTGTTCCAAGGCGGGGGCTGTACCAAAGAAAGGAACATTGCGAAATGCTACACAAGCCTGAAATGGAAATGTTATGGACATATATGTATAATTATGTATATATATATGTATATCTATATGCACATATATTTCTATATATCTATATATCTATATATATATTGGACACACATATATATATATATGTACATATACACATATACATATGCCTGTAGATGTACAATATAGATTCACAGACTGTCTCTCTTTTTTCTCTCCTCTCTCTCTCTCTCTCTCTCTGACCATCCCAGGGGTACGCAAGCGCACGCGCTTCCTGTTGTCCTTGCTGTATTTCATGGTGATGGTGGGGATTGTGATGTTGGCCGTGGCCAATCAGCAGCTTGGAAGAATAGGAATTTTTCATGATGGGAATTTCATGATGGTTTAATCAAGAAGATTTATCATGATTTATCCATGTTTAGTGGGATTAATTTGTGGTAATGGGGTTTAACATGGACTTAATGGGATTTATTGAGATTTAATGGGAGTTAACCATGACAAAAAACAATGGAAACAGTGACCATGCGAATTATAGATATATTTCTGAACTTCATGGAATTCTAAGGTTTGGCATGTGGATTTCAAAGTCAGTGTAGATTGCATCACCGCGATTGTTGGGTTATCCCGGTATTCTGCTTCCATGACTTTAAGGCATGGCTACCCCAAGCAGGCTATGGACACCCGCTGCTACCCCTGTTTGTGCAGCAATGGCCAGATGCACCTTGACCTTGTGGTCTCGGGATCCCAATCTCTTTGTGACTGGTTTCCTCCAACATGCGACCCTGGGATGAGCTCAGCCTCGGAATGTCAACCCGGGATGACTGACTAATTTGCTACAAAACGGTGGTACCTTTCAATGATCAAACAGCGGTATGCTAGGGGTTTGCTAGGGGTTTAGTGAAAAAAAGGGTTGACGTTGCTCCGGAAAATCAGCATGTTCAGGTTCCATGCATTCTTTCAAGTTATCATATCACCTCAAGTGGTACTATTTGGCGGATGGGTACCGTTGTTGTATCCCAATGCTGACTTAGTGGGTACCAACCACCATCGTTGGAGATCCAGGTGATTTTAGCACACAGCAGGGTTGCTCAAAGACATTATAGGCAAATGATAGCAAAAAAAGGTGGGGAAACCGTGAAACGGGCCATTTTGCCTCTTGATTTGCTCATATTTGCTCAGTTTCTCAGCTTACATTTGGTGTGTTGGGAGCAACTCTGCTAACCAGGCTGATTAATCATGGTTCATCACCATTTTTATTCATTTTCCAATATTTCCCTATGATTTGTTCTATCTGTTAACCAAATTATAGCATATTATATCCCAATTTGGATTCCATAGTGAGCAGTTGATATCCCAACGGGTACTACTCCACCGCAGTGTAACCATGTTAATCATTGTTATATAATCATTCTTAATCATTCTTAATCACGATAGTTTACCATAAATTGTTTTTGTTTTCCCAATATTTTCTCAAAATTTCTGTATCGATTTGTCATATTCCGACATACTATACGTACAACAACTCACCATGTTTGGGATATCCCCACAATATTGTAATATCAATTTTCAGCAAATTTTCATAAACTCTCCGTATCCCTGCTAGTCCCCTTCCCCTTCATACTACACCCACCCCAGAAACCAAGGTTTAGCAGGGGATTTGCACTTATTTGGGTCCATCTATGGGGTGTTTAATATTAGGGAGATGTGATGGGATCAACATTGTCTGTTTTCCCAATCTTTTCTCAAGTTTTCCGTTTTATAATCGTCGTGACAAATATCATGGTTGTTAAGTTTCCCAATTACTTCCCAATATTTTCCAACATTTTATATTGACTCTCTGTATCCCAATTACTTTTTTGAATTATGGGTAAACAATGATTTCCCATAAGTGACTTACAACAGTCTCCCAAATTTACCAATATTCTCCTAAGTTTTTTTTTAAACGCCCATTTTCCTAAGTACTTCCTAGAAACAATGGGATTGATAATGGTTAATAGTCACTAGAATCAGTATTTTCCCAACATTTCCCAACATTTTATATTGATTCTCTGTATCCCTAGTATACTTGTCATATCCCAATTCCTTTGCCAAGGCCTGGCACCCTGCGTCTGGAAAGTTGTTGGTTGGCCTCCACCCTGCGTAGCTCGGAACAGGGATTTTGCTGGGGAATTCATGGGACTTTCATGGGAATTTCTGGGAATATGATGGTTAATGATGGCTAACACTTGTTTCTTTAATAGTGATTACTGGTTGCACATGGTGAATGGTTAAAACATGGTTAACAATATAGTGATACATGGTTTTTTTTGGTGGAATTCACATCCGATGTCCTCAGCATTGCATCCTGAAAGGGCTAAAATCCGGCCGCAGGTGTCCTTAAATGTTTGCTTCCAAAAGAAATTCATTTCAAGAATGGGATCATGTGCATTCATGTCCATTCAAATCCATTAGAATCCATAAAAGTCCATTAAAGAACTACTTCCCCATCTTTTTGTTCAACCTCTCCATTTGGAAACACCGCCAGGTTTCAAGTATTTGAACCTGGCGAACCGGGGAATCAGCCACTTGGCCGAGACAGTCGAACTGGCTGGACACTTAAGAAGTGGCTATTGATGGCTCTTGGCTATTGGTCCGTAGATATCCAATCATGGTTAATACTGCTTCATAATGGTTAATAATTAAGGGGATATTTAAATATATTAACTTTTATGGGATATTATGCACCATTATTAACCCCTTAATGGATTAAGCTCATAGACATACTAATGGTTAATTAATGGTTAACTATGAACCCTCCCGAGCTGGGCCCCAGAGATGAAGTGAAGACCCAACAAGCCGCTTTGTTTCATGTTAGGCAACTGGACACCCCAAAAACAAAGACACTAAGACCATCTCAAAACCAGAGTCTCCCCCGACTTCCATGATGTTTCCCATGATTTCAACTTATTTTCCATGATTTTCCCAGGATTTTCCGATTTTCCAATCCATTTGAAGCAATGATTTCCAAGGTGAGTTGGAGCCACGCGCCATGCATCCCCTGGGTGAAGATTTGCTGATTCTATCCTTGGCTTCCAACAACCTGCAGAACTTGCCCCCGGGCTTCTTCGGAGGTGCGAGCTTTCAGGGCCTTTCAGGGCAGGAGATGTCGAGGTTTTTGAGGGAAAAATGCAGCACTTGGGTGGTTCAACTATGTTCAACTTGTATTTAGGAGGTCTGGGGGAGGGTTGAAGAACTTGGGGATGGTTGATTTTTTTTGGAACTCCGCTGGAGGTTGAGGACAAGTATGCCACTTCCCCAGTTCCCTTGGTCAGTTGGAATCGCTACAGCGTCAAGACATAGGAAGGGTTCTCATGGTTTGGTACCAGCTCCCAAAATGCTTTGGATTAAATGCGGAACTATCAACAAATGCTTTGGATGTTGAAAAGATATCAAAAAACACCGATTGATCAAACAGGGAAGTCATCTCCAGAGCCGGATAGCCACATGGGCCAGGACTTCGGGAGGCGCGACTGCTTGATTTGAGCCATTGTACTTTGGGCTGCAAGAACTCGGAGGCTGCAATGGTTGTATGAAACAAATCCATGGAGTATATTCAACTGGATGATGATGATGATGATGAGGAGGAGGAGGAGGACGATACGCCCAAGCCGATAAAGTCTTAGCGGTCAATGGGATAGGATCCCTCCAAGTCAGGTTTTGCCCAGGTATGCTGCAAGACCTGAATCGCGGCCACTTCGAAGGTCTAGTGTGCCTTGGTTGGATGTTGAGTGGCTGAGGGAAGTCTGGAGGATCATTCCACTTAAAAAACTGGTTGGTAACCATGGTTAGCACGTCTCCATTCAGTGGATCATCCCATCTATAAATGGATGAACTACTAACTATTTTCTCACCAGTTCCTTTCTAATCAGGCTTACGAACACTATGGTCCCATCTAGAAATGAGTTATACCGTTATACCATGTTATACCATCTTATACCGATAGATGGGATATAGATATACCATGATATCTATGTCATACCATGTTATACCGATAGTTATACCATGTTATACCATGTTATACCATGATAGCTATGGTATCCTCTGGTTATTCACCACTTGGATCCGTGTCGATCCTTGGATCCTCCAAGGCAAGTGGGCTCGCTGTCCTTGAGTGGCAACCACATCCGCCAGCTGCCGCCGGATGTCTTCGAACCCATGCCCCAGCTGAAACAGGCGGCCGGGTTCGATCCATCCGTGGTGATGATGGTTTTTACCATCAAACATAGGGGCTTTATCATCGATCAAATCGTGTTTAACCATCAAAACACGGGCTCAAGCGTCAGACAGAGAGAAAGACAGAGAGATGTTTAACGATCGAAAAAAGGGTTTGAAGCAGCGAAAACCAGGTTTAATCATCAACATTAAAGAGTAAATGCACATCGAAAATGCTTCGTTAACAATCAACACTGGTGGTTTAAGCATCATTTTGGCATAAAATGGCCTAATCCTCATGGAATGGTAGCCACCCAGATGCCACCAAAATCAACAGATCCAGCGGGGACAACATGGTGACATGTACCATGGGTGGACATTGGGTGAACCCGGAACAGGATTAATCTGACATAATCTGACTGACCCACAAAAACCAAAGCAATCTCACCCCACGTCCCAGATACTGCTGGGTGGCGAGCGTCGGAATGTGGGTGATGAAGAGTGCCGTGGCCAGAAATGGCAGCATTGGTGACCGAAACTGGACCCGCTCTGCCAGCTACTGGGGATCCAATGCGACCTACCCAAAACATCCCAACAGCATAAAACATTGGCATAGCGTGGAGCTAAGTGGCCTTTTCTCCTGCCTTGGAAATCCTAATGACCTCATTGGATGGCGTTTGAAGAAGCGTTTGAAGATCGTTTCAAGATAGTAGGAATTAATGATCTTCAAACGCTTCTTGGTCGATGTTCTTGATCTACATTTACAAGGATGATTGTAATTCATAATCAAATGAGTCAAATTGTAATCATTGCAATCATCCTTTTGGCGCGCAGCGTCGCCATCCCTGGTCCCTGTGCTGAATCTCCAGGCTTTTGGTGCTGGGGAATCTGCTTTCAGAGCTTCCCGCTGGCATTTTTAAGGCGACCTGGCTTCAACTGGAGGTCAACTGGCTCGAAACATGTCCATTTCTGCCATTTCTGGGATGCGACTGCAACCTGGCATAAAGGTCTAGAAAATAGCTACCGACCTACATGTTGCAATTACACACCAATGTGATGTGACTCTCTCTCTCTCTCTCTCTATATATTATATACAATATAAAGTAAAGTAAAAGTATACGTATATGTATATATATATATGTCTGGATTATATGTATAATATTTTTTTTTTTAAATAAATAGTATTTATAGCGTGGGTATATGCATATAACTGATAGTTTGATATATATATATATATTGCGGGTATTTCATCATGTATATGTATATGCGTATATGTGCATATGTAGTGGCGCCCCCCACTGTGGCTACCCTTAGGACCTCCAATGGCTGGTGCGGGTGGACATCAGCCAAAACCGCTCCTGGGCTGCCTGGGCTGCGCAACTCACATCGTGTTTTATTGTTACCCTCTGGTAAACTAACATAGCCATGGAAAATCAGCATTTTTAATAGGTACCGACCATTTTATAGCTAGGTAAACCATCTATTTCTGTGGGCCATGGCTTCCACGGGGAATTGTTAAATAACCAGATGGTATGACATATGATGTGTATTATTGCTGCATATCCCCACAAACTATGGCCCGCAAAATGCTACAGTACCTCCACTTTAGGGTCCTGAATTGCCCATTGATATCCCATCATATATCCATCATTTATCCATCATATACAGTATCAATTAAAAAAGGCTACTAATAGTAAATATTCCATCATATTTCTAATACATAATATCACATAGAGCTATTCTGTATTTGATATGGTACTGTATAAATATTGTTGCCAAATATCTTACTAGAAAAGAGTGGATCATAGAAATTACTAATACCAACATATTGGGATAATTGTTGTAATAGTGCAAACTACATGGGAAGTATTAATATTCCACTGGAATTATTTATTATTATTATTTGTTATTTATGATTATTTATAGTATTTTCTGTTAATATTTAGAAATACCATTATTTATGGTGAGTATAACATCCCACTTTAATGATATATACCATTATATACACCATGATACCATTGATTATTATACACATATTCCATTTAATATTTATACAATTATTTATTGTTAGTGGTACTATATATATATACACCATATATACCATATATACCATTATTATGGTACTATAAATAATGTTGGTCTCTGATTAGTAGCTAGGTTCGCTATTAATAATTTTTGACTTTCCACTTTAAAGCGAGTCCAGATATTGTTTAGAGGGGGGGGGCCTCACACTAGTCAGGAACCAACATTATCCCACATTCGAAAAGAAGAACTTCCCATGGCAAAAACCGAGGCCTGTCATCCGTGCCGCGGGGCGTTTTCGAGTCCTTGCCACGCCTGGCGCAAATTGAGCTGCGCGACAACTTGCTGCAGGCAGCAGGGCATGGGAAATCCATGGGAAATATGGTGAATATATGGGATTACTCATATGATGATATGGATTTTCTGGGAAATTTCTGGGGAGTATGTATATATATATATATTACATAAATATATATATATATATAGAAAATTGTATGATAATCTGGATTAATGATGGAATATCGCAGCCGTTTTTATGGGAAATATGTGGAGAACCCGCAACATGTATGGAACATAGCGATTTAACTATCACTGACCACCATTTTAGAATAGGATGAGTTACTATGGGCCAGCTATACCATGGCGAACTGTTAGTCATAACCAGAGGGTAATCTTATTGGAATAGAATCCTAATAATCCGAGTAGTCATCCTATCATAATACCTCTATAAATGGGCCATCTATACCATGGCGAACTGTTAGTCACAACCAGGCCGGGTAAATAGATGGTTTTACCATTCAAACGCTGCAGGAGATCGACTCAGAGGTGGGGCGTGATTGGTGATTTGGTGATTGACGGCGGAGAGTGGTCAGATGTTGTCGCCAAGAGGTGGTTCGAACGTTGGTAGAGCCATGGAATCCCACCCATATTTAACATGGAATCCCAGCCATAAAAATGGTCAAATTGGGATGGTGCATCCAATTGCTTTACTGAGGTTATAACGTTCTATAACAAGCACCTCTGGATTTTTGACATCGCATGTTGTCATGACAAAAAGGGAGGGAGAGCATAGATTCTTACAGATTCGGTTGAGGTCCCGCCTCTCCAAACTGGGTGTTGGGACTCTGAAATGGGGACAGAAATGTAGCTTTTCTCTGAAGCGCTTTGCTGGGGTGAAGTTGGTGGTCTTGGTGCCATTGCGGATTGGTCACTGGCACTAGTCACTGGCTTGATGGTCTTGGGAACAATTGCGAAAACTCATGGATTCCACCATCCAATTTCTTCCACAGCTGTCAATTTTTCATCAATTTGATATTCGATAATCCAACTCTGAGTTTTTGGATTTATGCACATCAGATCTCATAGATCTATCATTAATCATATATCCGTGAACATCTCTTCCGCCCATCGCAGATCTTCATCGACCTCCCCTCCTTGGCCAACCTATCCCTGGAGAACAACGTCCTGAGGCACAGATGACCTCGGATCCCCAGCGGAAGTGGCCAGAAATTGGCGGGAAACATCTTGGACCATTTAGCTGGATGCGTAACATCAAATCATATCTGACACCTCACCAAAAAGTTGAAATTGGTTGATTCAATTGGGAATGTTCAACCATTTTTTGATGGCGAACTCCTTCGTGTTTGCTGGGGTCATTCAATTTTTAGCAGGTGAAACCATGTCAACTGCCATCAAATATCAGTTTTCAATGGAATTCACCTCAAAATGTCTCGCCATTTTTCGGTGGCCTGGCACGCCACACGCCAGGCGCATCGAGCCCGGCGCTTTCAGCAAAGTGCCATCGCTGAGGCGCTTGGATCTGGCGCGGAATCAGTTGGAGGGGATGCTGTCCGTGGCTGCGGCGACAGGCGATGCCTGGGGATGGGGAACACATGGGAACACCGGGGTTGAAATCATGGGATTTTGACCACCCAACTGGTGCAGGATTTCTTCCACCGTATGGTTAGTATAAGGGGTTGAGGGTTGCGAAGGCCGAAGTTTTTAGGATGAGTGAAGGGTAGTGAGGTATGAGAATTTACATATCCAGATCAATGTTTTTAGGGCATTTGGTGATGAGAAATTAAAGGTTTTAATAAGCTTAACCATCCTGAAATGGGGATATATAGGAGATCCAATACTAAACCAAGGTTTTGTTTCGGGGATATTGCGGGGGGAAGGGATTGCTTGAATCTTTTGCAGTCCATTGGGGTATAGATCGATATACCAACCTGACCAGCAAAAAACGCACACACTTATTTGCAGGGTGTGTCTAGGATTGGCCATGGGTCAGGGGGCTTTTTTTTTTAAAGATTCTGAACCTAAATGGTGTTGGAAAGGACGTGGTTGGAAACTGTTAAGCAAATGGATGAATAACATGTTTCTGGGCTTGGGAGGCTAAGGGGGTTCTCAAGTTTTTGTTTCCCCCGGAAAGTGTCTTGGCAGACATGGATCATATGAATTTGGTTGGCTGTGGTGTCTCTGTGTAAGGCGCGAGTCTAAGGCACGTCTTTTGCCAAGGCGCGCCGTAAAACGGTAAAACCGTAAAACGGTAAATTCGTAAATTTACGATCTGAGCGTGCCGCTTTCGGAGCGTAAAACCGTAAATTTGGTAAATTTGCAAAATTTTCTGTAAACAAAACTTACCGTAAAACCGTAAATTGGTAAATTTGGTAAATTAGTAAATTGGTAAAGTTAGATTAAAATTTACAGATTTACCGATTTACCGAATTTACCCTTGCCCGGACACAGCAAAAATTACTACTTTACCAATTTACCAAATTTACCATGGCCTGAAGAGCGGTGAAATTTACCAGTTTACCGATTTACCAAATTTATCGCATGCAACCGAAGTCAAGCCGCAAATTCATGTTCTGTGTGCAAAGCGTGGGCAGGAAAAGGTAGTAAAGCCGTAAAAGCGTAAAACCGTAAAGGAGGTGTGGAAGCGAAGGAAACCAAAGTAAAACCGTAAAGTGGTAAATTTATGTTTTTTCGTGGACAGCGTGAACAGGAGAAGACGGTAAAGCCGTAAAATGGTAAATGCGTAAAGGCGCAAGGGAAGAGGCGGTAAAACCGTAAAATGGTAGATTCGTAAAGTTGTATCATGATAAAACAAAATTAAAATTTACAGATTTACCGATTTACCGAATTTACCTTTGCCCGGGCACAGCAAAATTTACCACTTTGCCGATTTACCAATTTACCACGGCCCGAAGAGCGGCGAATTTTACCAATTTACCGATTTACCAAATTTGCCATTGCCCGGAGAGCGTTCTCTCCTTAGCATCATGCCTTACACAGTGACGGCTTAGAATTCTGTAGAATTGGTTGGGCACCCTGAAAGTTTGGAATCAAGTTGGGTCCATGCCAAGGCCTTGGCAACTTGGAACAGCTGAACCTGTCGCGGAACCACTTGCAGGGTATCGAGTCAGGCCCAAATCCGTGGGCTCCTGGAGGGGTGATGCGAAATGCATCTTGGTTGGATAAATGCAAATGGAATTTTTCTTGGCCTGGAAGAGGTATGTATGCCATTGTATGCCCAAGATGAGCAGAAACACCACAGAAACTAAAGGATCTAAAGGTGCCTATGGTCCTATGGGGTTCAGTGCCAAGGTGGAGGAAGTGTTTCGCCAGAAATTTTTTGTTTTAGACGACGTCTGACAAATGCAGGCCTGGAGAAGGGTGTATCTTTGCCAAGCAGGTTCCTGAAAAAAGCTAGAGATGTTGATCCAGCCTTGACCACACAGAACCTCTAGTGGGACCCCATATTGTGGAAGTTTTTCTTTTTAATATACTCGTTACAGATGCCAAACATTCAGTATATTCAGTTATGACACAGTTGTACATTTGAAGAAGTAAACTATATACGACAATTAGAACGCATCTGAATTTACGTCTAATAAGTTTTTTTTCATCTAATGGAATCTAATGTGCCATATTGTTATTGTTGATATTTGTTGATATAACAAAGTAATGCGGTAAACCCAATCATGAAAAGCATCGCTTCGCGCTGTCGCAGGCGCCTTGGCCCTGCTAAGGCGCCTGCGAGTTCTGGATTTGTCCAGCAACGAGCTCAGGCCTCGTTTTTCAACGTTGGAACACCAGTGCCATAAACCAGCCATCAGGGTATCCAGGAGCTACTTTTCATGGCTATTTTTATGGGGATGATGCTATAAAGGATGATGAACGAAGCTATTTATGCGATAAGGATGATAATCTATTTATACTAGCTGGTTTTATTGGGGTTACTACAGTAGCCCATAAGTAGAGAAGTCTATCAGCCAACGAGTCTTGATCTTTTTCGTCACGGGCCCCGGGGCTATTTTTCCATGGCCCATGTGGAACTGGAGGATTTCAAGGGATGAGTAAACCATCTATTTCGATTAGGGCCATCGAAAAACCATGGCGAAGTGTGGAAAAAAGTCACCAGAGGCTACTGCGAAGTATTCCGAATCATATTCTGATGATTTTGCATTGCCTTATCTAGAAGAAATTCCTAGTTTTGGCAAGCCTTTCCCGACAGTAGGACATACCCCTCAACGAGACCCGGTTATCTTTTTGTTTGGGTCCCTTGATCTAAATGCTGGAGGTAATCATTTGACGTTTGATATCATATTCACGATGTGTCCCCACTTCAATACGGTTTGTCTCATATCAAGCCTTTAATGTGGTCAACCCAATGATAAACCATCCCCAATATTGCTACGAAGGTGTGGGGCAACAAATCACTCCCAACTGGTTGGTTTGCTCTTGGTTTACAACATATATATTTCGCTGATCCATCAATTATCGATCAATCATCCACGCTTGTTAGTTATACCCCCATGATCAGGCAATGATTGACTTTTACTTACAGTAACCATTGCAAGCAACCTTATAATAATGATTAACCATAATATACTATAAAATAGTGAGTAACATAACCATAACAATGACATAACTATAAAATCATAATTATCAATAATTAACCATGACGTATCATTAAGTTAACCACTAAATAACCATCAATTAGCCACCAACATATTGGTGGGTCGCCAGGAACTCCTCCTGGGCCGCCGTGGGGCTCCACTACTTGACCTCCTTGGAGGTGCTGTTCTACGTTAAAAAAGCAGAGGGTCATAGTCATGTTGATAGTAGAGAACAGCTAATTTAATAAATGGTGCAGTTCCACTACTTATTATTTGTTTGTTTAATTTGATAATCATTAAATTAAACAAAGCCGCAGTTCCACCTTGTGTAAAATCGGGTGGACAATGAAGAACATCCTTTTGATTTCTTGCTTCAATTGCCATATTTTCGCGGGTTGAATCGCCCACTGTTTGCACATGTTTGCACATTTGATGGGTAAATGGTGCACATCTTTGACCCTGAAATCCCCCAGTTGTTGCTTACAAGCCTCTCTCAGTTTTTCCAACATTCAATTCTTTCCTGACCAAAAATCATAGCCCACCAATTGGACCAACTCCCAATCTTCTTGGGATTTCTTGTTTTTTTTTCACGGGTTGAAGCACCCCAAAAAACGCCCCATTTTTCACGGGTGCTTCGAAGTCCCCAGGTGCTGTGCCTGGCGGAGGTGTACCTTCCCACGCTGCCGCCCTTGCCCAGCTCCCTCCGCCGCTTGGAGTTGCAAGGCGCGGGGAGGAACACCCTGGTGGAAAACCTAGAAGTGAGAATCTTGGTATAACTTGGACTCAGAAAACATATGAAAACATATAAAAACATATGAAAACATATGAAACCATCTGTTTTTGATGTTTGATGGATTTGTTGATGGTTTCCAGCAAATGGAATGGGGATTGAAGCAACTTGAACCAGCAAACTATGTGGAATCTGAGCGACAAAAAGGAGGACAGGAGTGAGGACATGACCGACCCACAGGTTTTTCCATTAAAGAAATGACGTGTGGAAGGAAAGTAACAAGAGCTGCGATCTGAGAACATTTGTACTCTTATCAGTGAAGAAGTGTTTGTAGCCCAGGTACCTCAACATCAATGAACATCAACCGTGAAAACACAGGTTTAACCGTGAAAAGTAAGTTCCCCCAAGCCCATGGTGTATCATCACTTTCCCATGCAAAAGATGGACATTTCATGGGTGAACCTGGTCACAGGCAGCCGCTTGCGGAATCTTAGTGGCCGCCTGGCTGGGAAAGTGCGGTGAACAGTGGAGCAATGTGATGTTTGTTTGTTTTTTAAAGGCGCCCTGGAGTTTTTTTCTTGGTTACCCACTTGTATTCCCAGCTATGATCACCTCTAAACACATTTAATGCTCCCAAACGAAACCCTGGTTTCGTCTTGGACCTGGGAACCCAAACGGGCCCAGACTTGCGGGGCCCATGATCCCCCCAGATCCTCCGAGGTTCAGCTTTCCACAACCTGAAGCAACTCGAGACACTGCAACTGCAGCAGAATTTTCTAGGGCCCAGGACTGGAGTTTGGGACCTCTGTCATGATTGTATGGTTTTTCATGGCGCTTCAGTGGAGTCACTCTAGGTTTTGTGACGTGAAAAATGTCTAAAAATGTCACGAGTTGGCATCCCTTAAAACCGGTGAAGATGTTGTAGGCCCCTGGGTGTCACTGGCCCCTTTTGGGAACATCCCATTGGGAGATCCCGACCGCAGTTTGCCGCTGACGCTCTTCCGCGACCTCGAAGCGCTTCGCACTCTGAAGCTCGGCTCCTCGGCAAAGCATTGCAAGGTAGTCGGCTGCAAGGTGCTTGAGGCGCTTGAGGGTAAGTGTTGATCCAACTCTATATTTATTTATTTATATATATATATATACACATTATATATACATATATCAACTATGAAGGACCCTGAAATCCATTTGCCCCCCCCGGGCATGCCGTGGAATCCCGGAACACGAGCCTTTGTCCTCGGGGCATGCAAAACAAAATTTAACCCATTCACACTGTCAAGTTGTGTTACCCTCCGGTAATCAATGGAAATCACCCATTGTGAGGATTTTCCCATAAACACCTCCATTTGCAGATATTGTTAGGGATTTACCAGCCATGTTTGATCATATTTGATCACCCGAAGGGGTGATGCCATAGGTCGGAACCAACTGAAAGACCTGGAGCCTACCCATTTCCAGGGCTGTGAGAACTTGGATGCTCGGTGGCGGCTAAGGGGCCAAGGTGGTTCTCCCGTTGGGTGTAAAAACGGATTTGTCTGCTATGGTTGGGCATATGATTCACATTGGGTTATATGAGTTATATGAGTTGTATGAGTTATATGTGGATTATAAGTCATAAGTCATCAGTTGAATGAGTCATATGTCATATGCTATATGGATCTATATGGCACATGTCTATTTTTCACCGTGTTTTTTTGGTCAAATCACAGGTGATGGTTGACCCATGGAGAGGCTGCCTTTGACTGTGCCGGGCCCCAGGAGACCTTGGATCTGTCGGAGAATTTCCTGTCCAACTTGAGCGCTGGCACGTGGCTCGGTGGGAAACAGCCGCTGAAGACCATGACATATATATAATCCCCCTTATAATATTCCTTATTAAATGGCGCCACCCGGGTGGCGCCATTCATTTCTTATTGAGTGCCGCCCCCAGGGTTAAAATCAAACGTGAAATTGCTTATAAAATGGTGTCTTTTGCAATAACGGGTCTGGGAAGATCCCTACTGGGAACTGTCATTTTATAAACCGCCCCTTTTTCTGGGGGCTATAAAATGGCAAACCCCGGTATCTCCTCAGGAGAAAACATGGGAGGCGGGGTCAGCATAAAAAGTATATATTTGTATATTTTTTTACTACATGTTGGGGTTATAAAATCATGGTTCCTTTTAAACTTGTCATGTATAGACTCTAGTTGTCATTTAATAACATTTGGAGAACATTGCCTTATAAAATGATGGTTCGGAATGCTTGTAATGGAGCGGCGGACTGTCATTTTGTAAGAAACTATAAAGTTTGAGTTTGCGGCCATCAAATCTGTTGTTGTGGATTCCAGCATGACACAAAGCGGGGGGGGGAGCGGGTTAGGGTTAGTTAATGTTTATTTAGGGTCTGCTTGGGGTTTATGCGGGGTTGGTTCAGGGTTTGTTCATGATCTACTCAGGGCTGGTTTAGAGCTTATTCAGGATAGGTTTGGAGCTTTTTGGATTTATTTAATTAAGCGTGCTTTCGGGTTGGCAAGCAACGCCGTGAGGAGAGACCAGGCGGAACCACGGCACCTTACTTTCTTCACGCCTCTGCTTTAGTTTCGCAGCTCTTTAAAGTGCAAAACGAAAGAAAGCACAACGTGCACGGAAGAGAAACAAACCAGCTTGTGGCGACCCATGGCGGGGTGACTCATAAGCATGCTCCGTGCAAAGGCCCTTCAACAAAATTCCTTGGAAATGACAGTACAGTATGTAGATGACCATAACTATCCATCACCATCCCACCACTGCCACAGGGCGAGACTGACGGCGCGCAAAGCGCTCTTATAAAATGACAATTCACACGCTGCAAGATGCCTTTACATCTTGGGACAAGCATTTCATAAGGCATTCTCCTCGCCAACGTGTCCCCGACGCACCCCCAGCAAAAATTGAAAGAGCACATTGGATAATGTCAGCTTTCTTTGGCTGTGATGCTGTGGTTGTTGAAGAGAGGTTTCTGCACCCGGCCCTCGCCTTCTTTTGTTTGGCTTCCTCCAATGAGCACCATTGCTCAATGACGATATCCATCCAGCGCCGTTGCTCAATGACGATCTCCATCCAGCGGTTCTTGCTACAATATTCATCAGTATTTTTGCACCTGGTTCTTTATGTTCCTGTTGTCTCTCATTGATGTTTGCTGTCTTGTGCTTGTGAAGTCTAGCTTGCGGGCGTGTGTGGCAGGTTGCTGTCATCTTCTGTGGCATTTTTTCTGTGTCTGCTCGTATGCATGCTGTCTTTCTCCGCGCCTTCGCCACCTTCTTGAGTTCCCCCGTTCTTTCCCAAATACAAAACGAAAGGAAAGATAACATGCACAGCCACCACAGAAACAAACCAACTTGGAGCAAGCCAGAGTCAGCCAGAGAAGCCCCAGCGAAAATAAAGCATCCTTTTCAGCGGACTTGCGTTCTCCTTGCCATACGCCGTTCAGCAAGAATATCAGACAACACCATGTAGAGCACCATCATCAGACACCATCCATCAGCATCCAACACCTGCTACAGGCCGAGACTGAAGGTGCACGAAAAACAGCCACAAATGAAGACTCACATGCCGCTACACGCAGCACACCCTGGGACTCGCAACTCAGAGGTCTGCCCTTGGCCATTGCGTGCAGAATGAGCTCCACAGGGAAACAAAGAAGAACATACATCAGATAACATCTGTCTTTTGACTTTTAATGCTGTGCTTGTTCGCAAGAGGTTTTGTCATTTTCTTGATTTTGGCCTGTATTTCTTTTCCATTTTTGATGCTGTTCAATGCTTTTCTGTTCGTGGCTGCTCATTTTCATACATGTTCCGTCAGTTCTTGACCTGTGTGTGAATTTTTCTGTTGTCGCTCAGGCGTTCCTTGCACTGTTTTTTATGAAGACAAGAGTGCGCACATTTGAGGCGCGGTTGCTTTCATCTCAGAGGGCTTGTTTCCTCATGCGCTGCCATGCATGCAGCGTTTCAGCGCCTTCTTCAGGCCTCTGCTTTAGTTTCCTAGCTCTTTAAAGTACACAACGAAAGGAAGCACAACGCGCAAGGCAAACAGAAACAAACCAGCTTGTGGCGACCCATGGGGGAGTGACTCATAAGCATGCTCCGTGCAAAGGCCCTTCAACAAAATTCTTTGGCAATGACAGTATGTAGATGACCATGACCATCCATCACCATCCCACCACTGCCACAGGGCGAGACTGACGGCGCGCAAAGCGCTCTTATGAAATGACAATTCACACGCTGCAAGATGCCTTTACATCTTGGGACAAGCATTTCATAAGGCATTCTCCTCGCCAACGTGTCCCCGACGCACCCCCAGCAAAAATTGAAAGAGCACATTGGATAATGTCAGCTTTCTTTGGCTGTGATGCTGTGGTTGTTGAAGAGAGGTTTCGGCACCCTTCCTCGCCTTCTTTTGTTTGGCTTCCTCCCATGAGCACCATTGCTCAATGACGATATCCATCCAGCGCCGTTGCTCAAAGACGATCTCCATCCAGCGGTTCTTGCCTCAATATTCATCAGTATTTTTGCACCTGGTTCTTTATGTTCCTGCTGTCGCTCATTGATGCCTGCTGCCTTGTACTTGTGATGGCTAGCTTGCGGGCGTGTGTGGCAGGTTGCTGTCATCTTCTGTGGCATTTTTTCTGTGTCTGCTCGTATGCATGCTGTCTTTCTCCGCGCCTTCGCCACCTTCTCGCTTGAGTTTCCCCGTTCTTTGCCAAGTACCAAACGAAAGGAAAGATAACATGCACAGCCACCACAGAAACAAACCAACTTGGCGCAAGCCAGAGTCAGCCAGAGAAGCCCCAGTGAAAGTAAAGCATCCTTTTCAGCGGACTTGCGTTCTCCTTGCCATACGCCGTTCAGCAAGAATATCAGACAACACCATGTAGAGCACCATCATCAGACACCATCCATCAGCATCCAACATCTGCTACAGGCCGAGACTGAAGGTGCACGAAGCACAACCATAAATGAAGGCCCACATGCCGCTACACGCAGCACACCCTGGGACTCGCAACTCAGAGGTCTGCCCTTGGCCAATGCGTGCAGAATGAGCTCCACAAGGAAACAAGGAAGAAAATAAATCAGATAACATCTGTCTTTTGACTTTTAATGCTGTGCTTGTTCGCAAGAGGTTTTGTCACTTTCTTGATTTTGGCTTGTATTTCTTTTCCATTTTTGATGCTGTTCAATGCTTTTCGGTTAGTGGCTGCTCATTTTCATACATGTTCCGTCAGTTCTTGACCTGTGTGTGAATTTTTCTGTTGTCGCTCAGGCGTTCCTTGCACTGTTTTTTATGAAGACAAGAGTGCGCACATGTGAGGCGCGGTTGCTTTCATCTCAGAGGGCTTGTTTCCTCATGCGCTGCCGTGCATGCAGCGTTTCAGCGCCTTCTTCACGCCTCTGCTTTAGTTTCCTAGCTCTTTAAAGTACACAACGAAAGGAAGCACAACGCGCAAGGCAAACAGAAACAAACCAGCTTGTGGCGACCCATGGCGGAGTGACTCATAAGCATGCTCCGTGCAAAGGCCCTTCAACAAAATTCTTTGGAAATGACAGTATGTAGATGACCATGACCATCCATCACCGTCCCACAACTGCCACAGGGCGAGACTGACGGCGCGCAAAGCGCCCTTATAAAATGAAAATTCACACGCTGCAAGATGCCTTTACATCTTGGGACAAGCATTTCATAAGGCATTCTCCTCGCCAACGTGTCCCCGACGCACCCCCAGCAAAAATTGAAAGAGCACATTGGATACTGTCAGCTCTCTTTGGCTGTGATGCTGTGGTTGTTGAAGAGAGGTTTCTGCACCCGGCCCTCGCCTTCTTTTGTTTGGCTTCCTCCAATGAGCGCCATTGCTCAATGACGATATCCATCCAGCGCCGTTGCTCAAAGACGATCTCCATCCAGCGGTTCTTGCCTCAATATTCATCAGTATTTTTGCACCTGGTTCTTTATGTTCCTGCTGTCGCTCATTGATGCCTGCTGCCTTGTACTTGTGATGGCTAGCTTGCGGGCGTGTGTGGCAGGTTGCTGTCATCTTCTGTGGCATTTTTTCTGTGTCTGCTCGTATGCATGCTGTCTTTCTCCGCGCCTTCGCCACCTTCTCGCTTGAGTTCCCCCGTTCTTTCCCAAATAAAAAACGAAAGGAAAGATAACATGCACAGCCACCACAGAAATAAACCAACTTAAAAGCAAGCCAGAGTCAGCCAGAGAAGCCCCAGCGAAAATAAAGCATCCTTTGCAGCGGACTTGCGTTCTCCTTGCCATACGCCGTTCAGCAAGAATATCAGACAACACAATGTAGAGCACCATCATCAGACACCATCCATCAGCATCCAACATCTGCCACAGGCCGAGACTGAAGGTGCACGAAGCACAACCATAAATGAAGGCCCACATGCCGCTACACGCAGCACACCCTGGGACTCGCAACTCAGAGGTTTGCCCTTGGCCATTGCGTGCAGAATGAGCTCCACAAGGACAGATAACATCTGTCTTTTTACTTTTAATGCTGTGCTTGTTCGCAAGAGGTTTTGTCATTTTCTTGATTTTGGCTTGTATTTCTTTTCCATTTTTGATGCTGTTCAATGCTTTTCGGTTAGTGGCTGCTCATTTTCATACATGTTCCGTCAGTTCTTGACCTGTGTGTGAATTTTTCTGTTGTCGCTCAGGCGTTCCTTGCACTGTTTTTCATGAAGACAAGAGTGCGCACATGTGAGGCGCGGTTGCTTTCATCTCAGAGGGCTTGTTTCCTCATGCGCTGCCGTGCATGCAGCGTTTCAGCGCCGTCCTTC